AGCAAAGCGAGCGCCAATTTTTTTAGGTAAGGGTACCTAGTTTCGGCCTCACCTATGGTCCTGCTAACATAGTAAATTGGAAATTGCGTACCTTACTCTTCCCGGACTAGGACTCCACTTACCGCTATCTCCGAAACTGCCAAGTACAAGTGTAGTTGTTCGGCTGCCTTTGGTGTGTGAAGCAACGGTAGGCTCGATAAGTATCGTTTAAGTTCCTCCAAAACTCGTTGACATTACGAGGTCCATGAGGAGTTATTCTTATCGGACGACCTCGAAATAAATCGTCCCAAGGCGGCTATGCATCTGGTTAGTCTTTGTACAACCTTCACATTGTTCATGACCGTGATATCTTTGATGGTTTTGATTTTGTCGGAGTTGATCTCGATTTCCGGTTGGAAACCATGAATCCAAGAAATTTGCCCGACCCAACTCCAAATGCACATTTTTCCGGGTTTAGCTTCATAATGTATTGCTTCAATATGCTGAAGGTTTCCTGCAAATGTTTTAAATGGTCCTCTGCTCCCAGGGACTTAACCAACATGTCATCAATGTAAACTTCAATTGATTTTCCTATTTGTTCCTCGAACATCCGGTTTACTAGGCGTTGATAAGGGGCACTAGTATTTTTTAATCTGAATGGCATCACATTATAGCAGTACGTGACGTACTTTGTGATGAATGAGGTTTTTTCTTTATCATTCGTGTCCATCCGTATTTGGTTGTACCCGAAATAGGCATCGAGAAAACTGAGGATCTCGTGGCCGGCCGTGGCATCGATCATGCGATCGATGTTGGGCAAAAGAAAAGAGTCCTTGGGACACGCCTTGTTCAAATCCTTATAGTTTACACACATTCTTAATTTGTTCCCTTTTTTAGGGACTACCACTACTTTTGCTAACCAATCCGGGTATTTAACTTCCCGAATAGACCCTATTTTAAGGAGTTTAGATACCTCGTCCTTGATGAAAGCATGTTTAACCTCGAATTGGGGCCTCCTCTTTTGTTTGCCCAGATGGAATTTCAGGTCCAGACTTAGCTTGTGAGTGGTTATCTCCGGTGGGATCTCTGTCATATCAAGATGGGACCAAGCGAAACAACTTTCATTAGTTATAAGAAATTAAATGAGTTTTTTTCCTGAGCTCAGAGCTTAACCTCGTGCCCAGGTATGCCTTTCGATCAGGCAAGTGTTCTCTCAATATGACTTGTTCCAGCTCCTCGAGCGTTGATTTGGTGGCGTCGGAATCATCGGGGGCTATAAAAGATATGGGAACCCCATAATCATCATCCTCACCTTCCCCTCGTTTGTCCGAATCTGCCGAGGCTGGTGTCAGTGATTGCTATTTGGCCTCGTTTTTTACCATCTAGTTCGGATCCTTCGATGTTGAGATTGTAGATGCCGATATCACCTCCTCGACCGCAAATATTTCCTTGGCAGCCGGTTGTTCACCATATACCATTTTGACCCCGCTAGGCATTGGGAATTTCAGTGCCTGGTGCAGTGTCAAGGGCACTGCCCTCATGTTGTGGATCCATGACCTTTCGAATAAAGCGTTGTACCTATTGTCTCCTTCGATCACATAAAATTTAGTTTCATGGATTGTCCCGACAGTGTTTATTGGTAATGTTATCTCGCCCTTAGTGGTTTCACATGCAATGTTGAACCGGTTTACAACTCGGACTGCAGGCACGATTTGGTCTTGTAGACCTAGTTTCTCCACGACCCTCGATCAGATGATATTGGCGGAGCTACCTGGGTCAATTAACACACGTTTAATTCGGGATTTATATATGAGTATAATTATTACGAGTGTACCATTCCTTCCGCGTCCTCATTATTATGGGGCTGCACTATTCCTTTCGCGTCCTCGTCGTTGAAAGACAAAGTTCCTTCCGGCATGTAATCTCGAGTCTGTTTCTCCCTTATGATGGATACTTTGGTGCGCTTCAACCTCGGCCCCTGAGGGACATCGACCCCACCAATGATCATGTTAATGATGTGTTGAGGTTCTTTTTCTTCGGTCTGTTTGTTAGAATCCCTATTCCTGAAATGATTCTTGGCTCGGTCACTCAGGAATTCTAGAAGATGCATGTTGTTGAATAGTCGGCCTACTTCCTCTCTCAACTATCGGCAATCCTCCATTCTGTTGCCGTGAGTGCCGTGATATTTACATATCTGGTTAGAATCCCTTTGGGTTGGATCAGATTGTAGAGGTCGAGGCCATTGGTATCTTTGATGAGTTCGATAGCTGATACAATGGCGGCAGCATCGATATTAAAGTTGTATTCCGATAACCTTGGTGCTTCTTTAGGCCTAATGGGCCTATCGAATCTGTTTTTGCTCATGAGTCCCCGGTTGCTATGGCTTCTGTCGCTTCTCCTTTCGTTTCTTATAGAGTTCCGCCTGGACCCGCTGCTTCTTCGGTCTCCATTATACGGCTGGTACCGATCCCTGTTTGGTCTCGGTTCACGATCAATGTCTCTCTTGACTCTGTCGATGTTTCTGATGGGATAAACAGACCCCGAAGGAGTCCCGATTTGATCATCTTCCACTCTGATCTTTGATTGATACCGATTATGCACGTCGGCCCAAGTAACGACCGGATATTCTACCGGGTTTTGTTTTAACTGCTGTGAAGCCATCGAACTTCGAACATTGAGCCCTTGAGTAAAAGCCTGAACGGCCCAATCATCAGCGATATGTGGCAAGTCCATTCGTTCTATTTGAAATCGGGACACGAACTCTCTGAGCATCTCGTTGTCCTTCTGTTTTATTTTGAAAAGGTCCGATTTCCTGGTTTCGACCTTGATGGCCCTGGCGTGTGCTTTCACGAAAGAATCCGTAAACATAGCAAATGAATCAATAGAATTAGGAGGTAAGTTATGATACTATATCATAACCCCCTTTGATAGGGTCTCTCCGAACTTCTTCAATAGGACAGACTCGATCTCATCGTCCTCCAAATCGTTCCCTTTGATGGCGCACATATAAGAGGTTACATGCTTATTTGGGTCGGTTGTTCCGTTATACTTAGGTATCTCGGGCATACAAATTTATTTAGGGATCGTCTTCGGAGCCGCATTTGGAGGAAAAGGATTTTGCACGAACTTCTTGGAATCCAGGCCTTTCAATATCGCTGGTGCTCCGTGGATCTGGTCTACCTTGGGATTGTAGGTTTCCACCTTTTTATCATTAGCTTTGATTTTCTTCTCCCCCGATTCTATCCGTTTTGTCAATTCTTCGAGCATCTTTATGATATCGGAGTTAGCCCCTGATTAATGTTCATTCGATCTTTCTATGACCGATTCATCCCTGCGGGTGACTTCACGGGGTGGATCGGGTTCAACTCTGCTTGGTGCACGACCTTGGTTCTGTAACTGAGCTATCACTGCCTGTTGAGCCTGCAATATTTTGAAGATTACCCGTAAACTGATCTCGTCCCCTCTAATGTTCTGTGTATTTTGAGTTGCCGATCGGGCTCCACCACGGACGTTATTCTCGGGGTCAGTTGGCAAGTTTGCATCGATAGCCAAATGTGAATTAGCGTCAATCGGGTCTGCGACCGAAATTTGATGGTATCAGCGGGCGGTACCTCGTTACCTGGTGCTACGTTGTTATTTTCACCGTGGTAACCGGACTCGTTGTTGACAGGTAGGGGTGCTGATTGAGAGTTCGATATTTTATGTTTTAACCTGAAATCAGAGACACTTCAAAGAGTAAGCATAAAGTAGTGTGTGTTACGGAGATTTGTATCAAATAATCACTATTATCCTTAGCCCCACGGTGGGCGCCAAACTGTTTACCCTGAAAATCGAATAACAATTAAATTTGTACATGGTTTTAAGGATACGTGATCTAGCTTGATACAAAACGATAAATCAGATTGGAATTGAAATAAACAATGGAAAAGTAAATGCAAACCACACAAGTTGAACATTCTTCGCCTGAGAAGGTTAGCCGCCCTCGAGCCAAAAGTACTTTATCGATATCAGAACAGAATGGCAAGAGAATAATAAGAATTGAAAATAATAATATATTGCTTTGGGATGCGAGTTACAGTGCGTTTCACAAGTAATCAGACCCCATTTATATAGTAGGGGAGTCCTACTTTAGGTACAATTCTATAAAAGGTAAAAATCTCCTGATTGCTGATTTGCTGGTTCCTTATTGATTCGTGCCGAGATTCCCGCCGTGATATCCGACCGGTTACGGATATTTCGGCCTTCCGTTATTTCGGTTTTTTGTTGGTTATACCGACAATTTTTCCTCGAGTTTATTCGGGGTCAGGGTCGATTCCGGGATCATGGACTCAATGTTCTCGAGGACGGATATTCTGACCTCGTGTTCTGGTTCGATAAGACTCGGGGTCGATCTTTAACCCCTCGCGTTCTGAGCCCGATCTGTCATGCAATAGTCGAGCCCGATTTCGACCGTACACAATTTGTATATTTTTGTCCTGATCATCTTTATTGTGTTAATTTTTCATTCGTATAAATGTTATTGACTTAGCATTAGATTTGAATTACTTGTATTTATATGAGATTCTCGCTTCAAAAATTTATTTATCTTCTTATTTTTGCTCTAGAAGTTCAAATTTATTACGGAGCTGATTTCTCTTCTTCTACCAATCGAACACTCATTTAAGCATAAAAAGTTATTATTTATGAATATATAAATACATTAAGAATATAAAGTTAGAGCATATGTTGTTGCTGGCTTAGATAAAAGAATAATCTAAATAGTAAATTGAGGTGCAAGAAATAAAAATACTAAAATTTCATGGAAAATGTTGTCTTTTCTCAGGCCTAAGTTCTAAGTTGCACTTTGTCATTTTGTTACTTGGCACATACTATACATCAAAATTGAAATGATATTTTTAAATATAATCTAAGTTGTTAGGGGAAGAGAAACATTTTTGTCCAATAGAAAAGGTCATGATATTATATTTAAATTTAAATAATAAATTTATGTGAAGCTCTCCCTTTTTCCGCTTAATTTTCGTTTCCCGAAAGAGTGGAGATTGGAGTATCTCAAACGCAATCAATTCAATGGGCCCACAAAGATCTTGTCAGATCTGCCACGTCGCCCACACAGGACTCCGAGTTTATAGCATCCAATAGCATATACCATATTCCCGCCGTATACCACCGCAATCTACGGCCGCGCCACCACAGAAGATTCACCACTTCACAACAATGGTGTCTCTAACTAATAACCAAATATTGCTGTCTCTTCCACTGTCTTCCTCTCAATCTGCAACTCCGCGAGAATATAATCAGCCCGAAGTTTCTTACATCCGTCGGAGAGCTGATTCAAGGAAGTGGAAACTATGGAGTTCATCGCAGCCATTCAACTCCTCACCCTCTAGGTAAAGCCTCCTACAGCTATTCAGTGCAAAATTAGTATAAATACATATATGTTCTACTCAATTTTTTTAAAAAAAACTATATAGATAGTGGTTGAGCTAAATTGCAACAGCTCCCTTTAATATACGTTTGATTTCATTTGTGGGCTTATTTTTGCGATGGGTGTGTATTTTGGTTTTTGTTTTGTACTTCTCAAGGTGAGCAGAAGTTTGACATTTTGAGTGTTGCAGTCTTTTTAATTGACTTTTTCCTTCCTTTTACTGTCGCTACCGACGCTGCCTATACATGTAAGCTTCAAAAGTATACTCAGGTCCTAACTTCGGACAGAGGAGAATGGTTGCTGTAGGTGTAAATATAGTTCAATTATGATGAATATTGCATACTGCCTGAATAGAGCGGAATAAATAAACAGGAATCATTCAGTCGATCCTAATTAGTTTGGGATTTTCGATAAAATCCGACCTAATTTGGAATTGAGGGACGGCTATTTGATTTTTACTGTCACTACATCCATGGGAGGGGAGGGAAAGTGGAGTAGGTGGATGCATGGATATCTCTAAAATACCTTAATTTTCTTCCTTTTGCTGTCTATCGCAACCTAATTACGTTAGTGTCCAATTTAGTGCGACCATATAGAATTTCATAGACACCTATACATTGTGTTAGTTGAATTTTCATGGAGACATCTTAGTTAATGTAATTTGTAATTTGATTGTATCTTTTTATGCATCAACTAGAATATTCCAAGAGGACTCCTGTATAACTCCAAAACTGGAATTTATGTGTAAACAGCTAATCAACGAGTTCAGTTAACTGAAATTATCACTGTATTTTGGTAACGGACCTTATATATGTGACAGATAGTTATCCATTCGAGTGTAGGATCAAAACATTTCAGCTTGTGAGAGCTAAAAGTTATGAAGCAAGACAGTCGGAGGACACAGAGGAGATATTGCAGAAGTCTTCCAATAATTTACCTGGTAGTCCGGAAGGTAAAACTGTCCGCACAGGAAGTTCGTTTCTGGCAAAACTGGCAATAGCGCTGGGTATAGCTGCTACAATTACATTCCTATCCATAGGCCTTAAACAGCCTAATCAAGGATCAAATTTTGGGATTCAATATCTGGTTGATGGATCATCATCTTCCACAATTACTACACCTGCTTCTGGTTTTTCTTTCAAAGCTTTTGGCTATAGAGTCATGCTGCCAGAATATGCTCCAGGGTAAGCAACTAATTATCCTCGTGACTTTTCATACATCTGCGGTTTCATCATGACCTAAGCAGAAAAAGAGACCAACCTTATGTTTAATATACTTTAGCTACCACTGTGGTAGATGCTAAAGAAATTGATATCCTGGATATCTTATCTATTAGCTTTATTTGGGATGTGATATTAAGCCCCTGTACTTCTGATACTTCAGATGGATCTACTTTTGGCTTCTGATGGCAGCTGGTTGTGGAATTTTTATTAGCGAGGAGGCTTTAAATATATGGGTCTGTCTCCTATGCTGGTACTTCTGTTCATGAACTCCCCTGCTAACAAATCTTCTGTGTTGCAGATATTATACTTTTCCTACGATTATATTTCTTCTTTTGATTTGACATTTCTTTTGACATTAATGACTTTAAGTTGTTCTTGTGATGTGAGGAAAAAGTGACAGGCCAAGTTGGAAAAAGAGTTAAAGAAGCTTTAAGCTTTATAAAGTTAAAAGCTAGAATCTTATCTTTAAAAAGTTGTAAGCTAGAAATATGCTGTTATATAGTGTCTTTAATAAGCACTAAGTTGGCTTGTTATCCTTCTTCATGACGTTCATTATTAAGGTCAAATTCTCTGATGGATCGTGTAGGTTGGAGCCTCTATAGCACGAATGCTTGTTCTAGATGGAACGTGGCAATCGCTGGTGAACTCCTTTTCCAGAAATGCTCCATATATGGCATCCACTATTCTCTGGGTGTACTGGTTAGCAGAAACCGTGTCCTTTTGAGTTAATTTTCATGAATGCATGTGCATGTCAACCTCTCAAGATTCTGCCGATCGCACAACCTTCCTTTGCTATTACAATTTACAAAGATATTATGCACCTTCGGTGCTACTATATATTGTTTTTGTAGAAACAGTTATTCCCACAATGTTAACTTATTGTGGATTCTGAATATTCAGGGGTGTTTGTATCAGCGATATGATACCTTTTTACCTTGGGAAGCTTTTTAAGCAATCTGGTGCATCCAATGATGTTTGCTCGAAGGTTTGTTTTGGCTAATAGCATTTCACGCATGTTAAGATATTCAGTCTCCTTGTATTATTTAAAAACGTATAAACTTTATTTTTGGGAATTCAGATTCAATTTGGTTGTAGTTAGGGATCGGTGATCAGAAGGCAAGAGATATTACAAACGCTGTACAAAAATATGGGAATCTCATTGGTTTTGGTGAGTTCCAAAAGATATGCCGATTTACTCCAGTTATCTCTTGCCTTGTGCTGAACTTTTAATTATTGTGAAACCTTTGTTTCCATTGATGCGTGGGCGCTTATAACTATGATCATAATGGAGCATCAGCATCATCACATCTCTATGTGATGTCTGAAGGAGTAAGATTTAATTATTTGTTAAGATTTCTCTTTTTTTTTTTTGGAAATATTAGATCAAAATAAGGGGTCTACCTTAAAATTTATGCTATATCTTAAGAGGTTGTACTTCTGGTTCATCTTAACCCTCATGTCTATATGTATAAATCTCTTAACTTTTTCGCATCAATCTAAAACAGCTGATTTTTCTTGTTATGATCTCATATTTCCGACAAATACTTGTAATTTGATCTTCTTGTTCCTTGAACTTCCTTAATTGCTTATTGGTGGATTTTCCAATGCTGATACAGTGGAACGGTTTTCTCTTGGAGTGAGAAATCCCACCGCTTTCCTTGCAGGGACTCTGGTGAGTGATCTTTTTCTGTTTTCCTTCTTAACATGCTGAGTATTATATAGCTTAACCCCCTTTTCTACTCTTTTGTTCCCTCTTTTGGGTACTACAAGTTTGGTGGTACGATATGCTTACCCATAAAACAAAGATGTCTTAGTTAAGCAAGGAATGTTAACTATCACATATTTCATTGATAATGTCAAAAACATTGCCTTCAATGCTTAGAAGTTCTGATAATCTCATTCCATTGCTTGAAACGATTGACATATTTAGTGAAAAAGTCCTGCTTTGAAAACACAAGAAGGATAAACCCAGTGACCCTCAGTTATGAAGTTTGTATGCTATTTCTAAACCTAGTCTGGCTAGAAATTCAATCACTGAGAATGTGATTCCTGCATGACTAGCTCAGAAGCTCTAATACATTTTTGTATAATTTTCGATTTCTTTTGTCCTACTCCTACATAAAATCGCTACCAAAAAGGGAAAGCACCCGCTGCAATCCACCATTAGGTCCGTGTACTCCAGCTCACCGAGGGGCTAACTGATTATGTAAAACTGAAGGTGAGGCTTTTTGGAAGCAAATAATTGAAGCTGTTCATGGAGTAAAGGAGGGATGGAGACCATGTTTAACTAACTCTCACAGAAAAGGGTGGGTCTGGAAGAACATAATCAGGTTATGGGATGAAATTCTGTTCTCATACCAGTTTAGAAGTGGGCAATGGTGCGAGGTTCAGGTTCTGGACTGATACATGGATAGGCAATGAGCGCTTAGGAACCAGATTCCCAACTTTATATAATATTCTATCAACAAGGAAGGTACTATAGCTGAATTCTATTCAGATTCAGGTTGGCAAGTTAATTTTAGAAGAAACTTGAATGATTGGGAGATAGAAGAATTCTGTCAGATGATGCAACAACTAGAAACAGTGCATATTGACACTAATAAAAGGGATTCTCTGGTCTGGAAAAAGAGCAAGGATAAAAAGTTCTATGTGAATAATTGCTGCAAGTTGTTGATGAGGCAGACATGCTATTGGGAACATAATTGGCCATGGAAGATGATTTGGAAGACAAAATCCCCTGCAAAAGTAGCGGTCTTTGGTTGGATTGTAACTTGGGGAGTCTGTTTAACTCAAGAAAATCTCCAAAGAAGAGGTTTTCTCCTGGCTAACAGGTGCTACTTATGTGAGGAGGATCAGGAATCAGTTGAACATCTTTTTCTGCACTGTAGAATTTCAAGACAATGTTGGGACCTTTTTCTGAGTATCTGTGGTGTCTCTTGGGCAATACCTAATAGCATAAGGGGCCTACTCGAGTGCTGGCAAGGGCAGAGGATTCAGAAAAGCTTGCAGCAGATTTGGAATACTATTCCTATATGCATATTTTGGATCTTATGGCTGGAGAGGAATAGAGCTTGTTTTGAAGGACAAAGAGACCATATTTCTAGAATTAAGAACAAATGTTTGCAGAATCTTTTCTTATGGTGTAAGGGTAGTCTTATTGGTAGCACAAATGAGTATATGGATTTCTTGGACTAGCTAGGGGGCAGACAGTAGATGTAATATTTATGTTCTTTATGTTCTGATCTGCATTCCCTTTGTTATTGTACTACTTGTACCATCTTGGCACCTTCTATCAATAAAACATTTACCTTTTCAAAAAAAAAAAGAAAAAAAAAGTGGTCCTTGGTTTCCGTATTCTTGAATTAGCCTATCAAGTGCCCTATTTTGCATGTTCATCCCAATAAAGTTGATTATAACATAAGAGAGACGGAACCTTGGTTGGACATCTTCTCTCACCGAAAGGTTTTTCCACTCAAATCTGGAGCTTTGCCTGCACTTCATGCATTGGCAACTTAAAAAATGCCTAATCTTAGCAATTAGGGAAAGAATGATACAGTAGCATCTATCAATTTGGTGTCCTTAGTTTGTTCTTCTTGACCATTTCTAACCATTTTAGGTTCATTGTATTAGTAATAGCATTTTGTTTCTAATAGTGTTATCCTTAGATATTCGTTTACCTTTCTCCTACAAAATGGTATGACTATTAATGGTCCATCTCAAGATTCTTATGATGGTTATGTGGCAGCTATTACCCCATGAACAAATGGTGAACATCTCAATGAACCCATATTAAACAGATAGTTATACTGTTACAATCATTCATCTGCTCATATCTATTGCAGGATATATCACCAGAGTATTTCTTTGCCGGTGTCTGTTGCGGTGGCTTGATAACTCTTCCAATTCAGGTAAGTCTTCTGCTTGAGAAACAACAGATTTACAGTTTTTAAGTGTGCGTGCTGTTCATGCTCTTATCTCTTTTCTTTTTCTCCAAAATGCAGTTGACAATTGGATTTTTACTAAGAGAGCGTCCTGTATTTGCAGTTGCAACTGTTGCTACTGTAGTGGTAAAGCATAAATTTTGCTCTGCCCAATTTTGCATTTATTACCAGAGAGTCAAAGAATCCAATTCCGGTTCCTACTAATTGTGCAGGGAATCTGGACAGTATTCCCCTATACAGTGGCTGCTTGTACAGCATTATTCCTATATCTACGGCGCCAGTTTTCCAGTTAGGCCAACCCATTACTTTTCTGATTGGTTCACAAGTCTTAAACAACGTGGACTGGAGGCGAGCACATGACTGCTCGTGCTGGTGCAAGCCTGGATGGATGATGCCACTATTTGTCGAAAATCACCCACATTTCCAGTATTTTCCAAATCAAACTGATTGAAAATCGTCGGAGATGTTCTAGAATGATAAACTAATGTATAATTGATTAATGATCTGTCCATGGGCAAGTTTCTTTATTCTCAACGAGAATGTTTAACTCTTTAAGATGAGAAATCTTTTTCAAAGGGAGGGGGGAAAAAGAAAAAGAATGGGTAAAAAGGCTGCAATATTAGTTTCAAGATTGCCTGTGTAAATTTTATTAAGAATTGAAGATTCAATGGCATCCAAGAGTATGGATAGCCTTGTGGTCAATGAAATGGGTTCCCTTGGAGATTAGGTTCACATTCCAGTGGAGACAAAAAAACACTAGGTGATTATTTTCCATTTGCCTACAAACTGGTCCAGATACACTGTTAATATTTTAAAAAATTGAAGATTTTGTGATACAGGCAAGATTTTGGGAACTTCTTTTGCAGATATTGTGATAAGAACTTGGAAACAAGGCATTTTAAATAGACAAGTTCTAAGGGTAGATTTGTGATAAGAACTTGGAAACAATTGCAGATAATTAAGGGTAGATTTGGGGGAGGGAGACCCTTAAATGTGAGATGCATATCAATAACTTAAAACATTTTCAAGCTCACATTTAAAACTTCACGCATAAGTTACTGAGACGAGGTTCATATATTTGCAAATTCCGAGCTGCATTAGTGAAGGCATAAATTATCAATTGGCAAGTCCTTCAGATGCTAAATAGGAAAGTTGAATGCTGTATGCATCTTTGAGCTCCGTCAATACTTCTGCTATACTTGGCCTCCTCAATGCATCCCTCTCCACTGACCTAGAGGCAATTAAAGCCGCTCTTCTCATGCTCTCCGTATCAAAAGTTCCTTTTATGCTCTCATCTACTATCTCAAATGCACCTGCCTGCAAGTATGGCTTTGCCTGAAATTCACAATTGATATACAACATATGAGTATTGTTGGAACTCAATGAAATGCTTTGTATTATATTTGCTGTGTAACACATTATAAGACTTGTGTTTACCCATAGAACCAAGTTAAAGGAATCTGGAGAGCCCGAGTGACTAAGTGGTTCTCGACCACAGATAAGTTCAAGAAGAACGACTCCAAAACTGTAGATGTCACTCTTTTCAGTGAGTTGTCGAGTGGAATAGTATCTGTGGACAAGTAACAATAGAGGTTTAGGATTTTGAAGTAGCAAAACTGATACATTGAGAACAGTATCTTGAAGCTTACTCGGGATCAAGATAGCCAGCAGTGCCTTTGACAACAGTGCTAACATGAGTTGCATCTGATTGAGTTACTTGCTTAGAAAGGCCAAAGTCAGATACCTTAGCATTCATGTCTGCATCCAGAAGTATGTTGCTGCTCTTCACATCACGGTGTATAATTCTTGGCTCAGTTCCATTGTGCAAGTAATCCAAACCTTCGAAGTTATAATCAACTATTATAAACTATGTAAAACTTATTCTACATCATACAGATATAAGTACCTGCAGAGGGAGCAAAATCCACAAAGCAACTTATTCCTCTGGGCTATATGAGTCTTTTGGTTGTAGAAAACCAAGCATTTTGTCACACAACTGAGATGAACTCACAGAACTACTTCAAGTATTTGTTTTTTCACAATGTATGAGGAAAAAAGAAGAGCAAAACAATGTTTACTTCTTCTGTACAGAAGAAATTTGTTGTTGGTGGTAGTTCTCCAATGGAAGACAAGTTAGTAATTATCATGTCTCACTTGTACACGTACCTTTTGCAGCATCAACTGCTATTTTCAATCTGCGCACCCAGCTTAGTGTCAATTTCTTGCTCATTGCTCCTAAAACAGTTATTAAGTGTTAGTTAACAATACGAGACGAAGCAGGTGGTGGATTTAGCGTGTGTTATATGGGTGAGACTACGCGTGACATACCGTAGAGGTTATCAGCCAGTGATCCTCCAGGTAAATACTCATAAACTAGAATTTGCTGTTTCGATTCTTGGCAGAATCCTTCTAATGACACAAGATTTGAATGACTTATATGTGATAGAAGGGACACCTAGAGATAATAGAGAAGCTGCTGAGTATCTTTTTCCTTTATAGACTGAAACTGAACTAGCACAAGTTTAGTGACAAACCTCATTGATAAAAGAATCGGCACCTAGTTGAGTTTTATCGAATCGAACTTTAACAGCAACTTGTTTACCATCAGGAAGCTTCCCAAGATAAACAGATCCGAAACTACCGCGACCAATAACCTCTTTGAAGTTGTTTGTAGCAGCTTTGATTTCTTTGTATGAAAAGACTTTTGCAGCATTCCAGTTTTTCATTTCTGCTGCAGTTCCTAAAATTAGAAAATAGTTCCTGCTTAGAAGTAGATTTATCAATATTTTGCTGATAAAGAAAAATTTGACTTTTTCATACTTGATGCATATGTATCTCCACTTTTTCTTCTCCTCATGTACAAGAATACTGATATAAAGATAAGGAATAGAGCAAATATAGCTACTCCAACTGCACCAAGTATAATTGCTAATCGTTTATGGCTCTTGCGTTTTGTGGGGGTAAATACAGTGACTTGTGGTGTTTCAATTGTAGGATTTCTTGAGAAGTCATTGCATAAAGACATAGTGAAGGAAAGACACAGATTTCCTGATGATCTGCAAGATAGAGGAAAAAAGATAAATCGAGAAACTGACATGAGAAGCAAAAAAAAACAACGTTTTAACGTTTTCAATTTCTTACAGGACTTGTAAACTCTCTCTGTTCAAAGCTTGTGGCAGGGGGCCTTGCAGCTTATTGTTCTCTAGGTTCCTGAATGTTGCAGAGAGGTAAATCAGTATAATTCATCAGGTGAAGTACTTTAAGAAGTTCTAAAATGCCAGTATATATTATCCTCACTCACAGTAAGTGGAGGTCCTTCAGTTCTCCAACGCTATCGGGTACTGTTCCCTGAAAACTATTGTTATGCAAGTCCCTTCAACAGAAAACATATCAGTTTTAAAGACTGTCATCTTTCCCATAGTTGAACAATAGTAGCTAGGAATCATGAAGGGAATCAGTAGGCAGTAAGACTTACAAAATTTGAAGGTTTATCAAGTCTTCTAACTCAGAACCAAAAGCTGTAAGTTGATTGAAGCTCAAGTTCCTGCATCATTGAGCACAGAACTATTTTAGTCAATGCTCTCTAAAATACATTTACATAACATGGTAATTCCTCATCACAAGTATTACAGCTTCTTAAGATGTTGCAGGCTGCCGATATTTTGTATCTCTCCAGCAAGTGAAGTGTTATGCAAATCTCTGCAACAAGTAGAACCTCAAGTAGGTAAACTCAAGATAGCTAAACAATGGGTTATTAAGTGATAAGGTGTTAAGATTTATGACTCTTACAGTGATTTGAGATCCAGTAAGTCACCGAATGTTGGGCTAATTGACCTCAAGTCTACATCCGAAAGCTCCCTATACATACAAAATCTAACTTTAATATATTCTGCTCTTAACACAAGTAAGACCACGAGATAAGGAAAGGAAAATATATTTCTTGGGAAAGCTTTGACATACAATGAAGTTACCAAGTTGCCTTCACATTCTATGTGTTCCCATGATTTAGGAGAGCATGGATCATCCTCCCAATCAAGATGTAGACCAGTTGGCTGCTGAATAACTTGTAGGGCTGAAACTGCAAAAATTGAAAAATGTCAAAAGTTGCTGCAATTCGTTCTAACAGACTACTTCAAAGATCACAGATATCGAAAAGTCAATAAAACAATAATAGAACCTGTGGTTGAAGAAGTTTCTAAGGGAATGTCCAGGATCTCATAAACCTCAAGAGCGTTGATTATAGGATAGTAATGGACAGTCTTCAATATGATGTTCAAGCTATCAATTCCGTTCATTGTAAAGAACAGACTACTGACTTCCCATCGATTCACTGTGTAGTTTGATCGAACAATATAACCATTTATGAGTACATCGAATGAAGGGGAGACAGGTATAATCCCAGCAAAGTAAAGAACAATGTGGTAATCTCCTTGATGATCAATAGGGAAGTTATATGTCATGTCGTTCCGACGTGCCAAAACTCTTCCAGTTTGAAGAACAGCTGCAGGAGGGCTCTCTTTCAGAACTGACATATTGAAATTGGCTTGAATATCAAAACCAGAAGACACATGAAACGGACTGAAATCCTCATCAGCGCCCCAAATTCTATCATACTGATCAATCGGGTACCTTTTACATAGCACGAAAAACATCACATTTAAACAGAAAGTAAGGACTAAACAATTGATAATACATTAACATAATAGACAAGTGAGAGTTTTGACCTTAAGGACCAATTATAACCACAATTGACACGATAACATTTCCTTAACAACTTGTTTGGAAAATCTCCCAACGCATCGATGTAAGCTCCTTGAGGAAGTGGCCTAAGTTCAAGGGATGAAATGACTGGAAATCCACCATTTGTAAGAGAGTGAAAACATAAAGACACAATGTCTTTATCAACTGTCCATATGAACTCTTCGATCCACGGATCAGTGTTACTAAGATTGACTGTGGTTGTGATAGCCCTCCCAAGAGAAACAGAGAATGCAGGGGGTTTATTAAGTCCATCATAATTCTTATACACAAACTGAGTCCTCACAAGAACCAAGGATGATACATTTTTCACTGGTAGCTTGTAACATTTTCTAAGCGGAGAATCAGGAAAGAACCTAACTGGGAGAGTAGATGGAGAGGATCCCTCTTGAAAATGGACAGTGGTGATGTCGCCAGCTGAGATATAGGCACCATCTGGTGTCCATGTAATGTTGGAGGAATCAACATAGGTAGTACTTCCACCACAAGACAAGCTTAAAAATCCTGCATATTGTCACAACATAAGCAAGAGTTCATCTCAAAACATTTATTTATTTGTGGAGAAAGATTGTATTAGTAAAAAGTTCTAAACTAACAGTGTCCTACTGTAACGTAAGGGAATGATATGGACCGGCCTAACTCAAACCCAAAAGCTAGTTCACGAGGGAATGATTGTCTAAGACCATATAAGAAAATAATAACACATACTTTCAGTCAATGTGAGACTCTAACGGCTCCACATGCCCAAAGGTGAACATCTGGAACATAGACAACATAAGATGGAAGTCCGACATTGAGTAAACAAAAAATATGGATGATTTTGGCTCTGATACCACGTTAAAATATAGACGTTGAGCCTAACTCATGTTAATGTTAATGTTGAGCCTGACTCATGTAAAGGACAACTGATACATACTCAACCAATGTGGGACTCTAACATTTAGTTCTTAGAATCAGATTTAAATTTTCTTATGTGTAATGACTATTGAATATTTTCTCAAACTTTGCATAAGGGT